TCCTCCTCCTCCTCCTCCTCATCCTCCTCCCCCTCTCATGTCGTCATTCTCTCGTCGTTTTTTTCCTGGCCCGAGGAGCTGGTGAAATTGTTCGAGGGCATCGGCCAGACAACCGAGGAGTTTGATGAGACCGCCGACGTCGGGAAGCCTCCTGATTGGCCACGCGACGACCTGCTTGATTGGCTATCGACCAACGGCTTTCACTTTCCAGCTAATGGCACAGCGGGGAGCAGGTTTTCGAGGTATATGAAGAAGCACTGGGCAGAGGATAAACGCAATGCCTACGACAAGTTGGCACCATCAAAGAAAGCTGAGTGGCGCAGAGAGTGGGCCGAGGAGCAGTACCAGATCCTTCAGAAGTGGAGGCAGAAAGTAGACAGATACCAGGAGACAGCCAGCAAAAAGTATCCGCTCATCAACATCGACACGATGATCCAGAAGGAAGGTGGACGCTACCCATCAGTGATCAAGGGCTGCATGCGCATCGCCGAGCATTGCATCAGGCGCGGACCTCCGTGGGTGCAAGTCTCGCAAGAAAGTGGACGACTGCTATTCCGCTACATGATGGTGGAAGACCGCCAGGAGCAGATCACGAACTGGGACACCCACACAGAGGAGTTCAACAGAGGAGGTTGCAACCGTCGCGATCGCGACCGCGAGGAACCAGCAGAGGAGCCGCCGCAACAGCGAGCCAGGATCGAGGAGCCGCAGGAAGAGGTGACGCCGCCAAGCAAAGGAAGGGTTGCAGCACCAGTGACGCCACCGCCGACAGAACATGCACCAGTACCACGCGCTGCTGGTTGCAGCGGCAGCAGCAGCGATCACCTGAAGCAGCCATGCAAGGGCACCACCAAGGGCGGCAAGGGCAAGCAGGGCAACACCAAGGGCGGCAAGAGCAACCCCAAGGGCAGCAAGGGCAAGGGCAGGGACACCAAGCAGGGCAAGCGCAACCAGAACGCAAAGGAGAAGAGCATCTACAAGCAGATGGAGGAGCTCCTGGGCGAGGACATGAACAGCCTCACGTTCGCCAGGAACATCATCACCAAGATCGACAAGAAGCACGATGAGTGGACGTGGGCTGCGAATGCAGAGTTCGGAGACAGCTTGCGCAAGTCTTTCAACCACGCCCAGCAGATCATCGACGATGACGAGGTGCTGCACAAGGTCATTCTCTTCGGCATGAAGGAGTACATCAAGATGTTCGAGACCTGCGAGGTCGATTTCCAGCACTGCGTCGACAGCCACAAGGGGAACTTGGATGACGTCGCCACCCAGGTGCTCCGCATTCGCAAGATGAAGGAGCTGATGCAGTCCTGAGCTTGGGGCACTACGAGCAGAGCTACACGTTCGTCGGCAGCAACAGGTTTCTGATGCAGGGGGCTGGCGAACTTACATATTTCGTGACGCAAGCGAGCTTGCGATGGGGATTGAAAGGATGTGGTGTAACGAGAGTTCATGTGGTTTCAATTTTTGGACTTCAGATTCTGAAGATTCCTGGTGTTTTCGAGAATATTGAATCGAATATTGAAACGCGTGCCCCCAGAGGGCGCACACTTATGACAAATACACCACACAGAGCTACTGATACGCCTTGATCCAACCTCAGCGTACCCTCGTCGCAGCCTCATTACACGTGCGATGATGATACGATGAGGATGCGATGAGGAACCGATGAGGATGCGATGAGGCCTCACCGCAACCTCATCACAGTACCGATGAGGATGCGATGAGGATGCGATGTGGCCTCATCGCAACCTCATCGCAACCTCATCGCACATGTGATGAGGATGCGATGAGGATGCGATGATGTTCATCCCGATGAGGCTGCGATGAGGTTGCGATGAGGTTGCGTTGAGGCCGGATTTCTCCTATTTATTTGACGGAGTTGTGAATGTTGCCTAGTTGTGGGCCGGTTTTTTGCGTGCTTGTCCGGTTTTGAGGCGGTTTGTCCGGTTTTCGGCGCGTTTTGCCTGGTTCCCGACAGGTGTTTAACTGGTCTGGGTCCGTTTCGCCAGAACCTGTGATCGGTGTATCGTTTTGAAACAGTTTAGAACTGATTGCGGGAGAGGTTTCAACCTCGTGACAACCTTTATTTGTTCGATCCGTCCAGCCATGAGTGCTCGAGCGATTTTATGACCTCGAAAAAACGCTACCGAGAAGACCATGTTCGGATCCATAGCTGGGAGCTGGGGGGAGCCAGCACTGCTTCGTGGGAGAGGCGGAATCCGACAGAGACTGGCACCTACGAACAAGAGCAACACGGTGATGAGCTGGAAGAGTTCCTTCTTATGCAATATGCACATGGTGATTTGAGTGCAAGGTCACTTTGCACGATTGCATGGCATGCTATTCGAGCAGGGGCCCAGGGACTTGGTTTGAAGAAACTCGCTTTCAATCCAGAGAATCAATCGGGATCATTTCAGCAACATCTGGACCGCGTTCTGCCCCAGAACTCTGGTGTAGAATTGGTTGACCTCAAGCTGCCGTTGTTCGTCGATAGCATGCGGCAGGATTGAGTAGGGCCTAAGAATTCCACTAGATAGGAAGACACTACGAGGGTAGGAGAGAGGGGTCGAAGGATTGGAAGATGAAGATGGAGGGAGGAGGAGGACACACACCAACATATGTAAGCGTTCCCACAGGAGCAATCTATTGCGTTTGCCCCTCCACATGAATGTCTAGATTCCGAAGTCGAAAACGACACAGATGGTGATATGCCGAAGTATTTGGAGGCTGAAACTTGGCAAACAGATTTTCAGGAACATCCCCTGAGGCATATTCCACACGACCCACGTCCATGCTACCCCGTCGCCTTGTATGCCGATGGAGTACGGTGCACAAAGTCAATATCCCCTGGTTCCCAAGACAGTCTAACCAATTTCACCATACATAACCTTTGTTCTGGGCGTCGTCATTTCATTGGGGCATTTAAAAAATCACAGTTGTGTCACTGCGGGTGTCGAGGATGGTGTTCTCTCAGGCCGTTCTTCGGTTTTCTAAAGTGGTCTTTGGAAGGAGCAGCCCATGGTTTGAGGCCACAGGAACGATGGGATCGCTCGAAGTGGCCAGACGGCAGTTCTTACGCTGACATGCCTATGCGAATGAAAGCAAGATATGTTGTGATAGATGTTCGCGGTGATTGGAGCGAGCACTGTACAACCTTCGGGCTAACGACTTGGCAATCAATCAACAGGCCTTGTATGTTTTGTTTATCCAATAGAGCATCGCTTTTCTCAAGCTGGCGCAACTCCGATAGCCCGCAGGGGGTGGGGGAAAGGGTGGGACGTTACTACTGCTACTACTACTATTACTACTACTACTACTACTACTACTACTACTACTACTACTACTACTACTGCTACTACTACTACTACTACTACTACTAGTACTACTACTACGATAACTACTACTACTACTACTACTACTACTACTACTGCTACTGCTACTGCTACTGCTACTACTACGACTACTACTGCTACTACTGCTACTACTACTACTACTACTACTACTACTACTACTACTACTGCTACTGCTACTGCTAGTATCACGAATACGATTACTACTACTACTACTACTACTACTACTACTACTACTACTACTACTACACGGGAACACCGAAACACGCCTAGTGATTCTATCTTGGAAGCGAGCGGCTTTGATTTAGACGACGTGTCGCCGCACGGGCACAAATCGGGATATTTGGGCGATGACTACTATGATTCTGAATGCAAAAAATGCGAGATACGGGTTCTTGTTGACACACCAGGAAAAAGAGACAGGGTTATAAATTTTGGTGGGCTCGATTTCGATAAGCGTGGACAAGCCGCGGGAATGATCCTGCACAACAACATCGATGATATGGGTTTACGCAAGGGGGACAGGTTAGAACCGTCAGACACCCTAGCTGACGTCGCACAGTTCAGCACGGCTGCTTTGCCGATCGAGATTGTGTTCTGGAGGGAGCGTTTCGAAGTTGCTGGCTCTTCCAAGCGTAGATTGGACGCCGTCCTCAAAAGAAATCCATTGTTCGAAATGCAAGGGTGCAGCCCAGAACGAGTTCTGAAAATCGATGCCCTCCACGCAGTTTACCTTGGCGTAGTTTTGCGATTCTTATCGTGTGTGCTGTGGAATACTATTGATGGTGAGGTTTGGAACGTTTCGGGCCCCAGATCTGCTGTGATTGAAATGAGCATTCGTTGCATTGAACTGGACATTCAGCGGCGGTGCAAAGATGTTGCAAAGACTCCTCGTGAAAACCAGCTCCGGAAACTCACGCCAAAAATGATGGGCTCCGATTGGTCTCGGGAGGTAAAGCTAAAAGCTGCCGAAGCTGGCTCGTTATTACCGCATGCGCTTTCTCTGTGCGATCGGTTTGCTGAGAGATTCCCATTTAGTGAAGAACTTTCCGTGGCAGGCGCTGCATTGCAGGAGTGGCTTACTATTGTGAGGAATTCCCCAAGGGTTATACAGCCTGATCGCCGACACCGCTTGCTGGAATGCGCAGTTCGTTTTATCAATATGATGAAGGTGGTCGACGATTCAGCCCTGAAGCCTAAGGCTCACTTGTTTATACATCTCACACTGGATGTGAAGAGAAACAGGGAATCCACGTTTTTTCCATTGTTTCCTGGACGAGGGGCTTAACCGCGTTTTAGCTGGCATCGGTTCGGCAGCATCCCATGGAAGGTGGGAGCATGGTATTTTCACCAGAGTTCGTTTGCTGCCTTACGTTGAACCGAACTCTGCCTGGGCATGTTGATGAAAATCGGGGGCGTCCTCGTTCTCATCTCGTTGCCCTCCTCCTCATCCTTCTCCTCCTTATTCGTCCCCTCTTCCTCCTTCTCCTCCCCCTTCTCCTCTTTCTTTCTTCCTCCCACCCCTCACCTCCCCCGACCTCCAATGCAAACCGAACGCGCAGTAAACCAGGCCCGCATTGAGGCCAGTGACATGTCCAGGGGCTCCTCCTGTAAGAGCGCACTGGCTCGAGCCTGGCAACGGACATGGCACCGCCACGCCGTAGGGTACCAGATACCCCAGTAGAGGATGATTGGGAGACGGCTGCAATGGACATTCTCAAGCCAGAATCCAGAGGCGAGATCCTGAAGGTCTGGCTGCCATGCTGTGGTTTGTGCACTGGGCTGATGGTACTCAAGAAACTTAACATGGAAGTGGAAGAGATGTCATTCGATATTGATAAACATGTTGAGAACCAGGTGATATTCGAACACGGCAGTTCAGATGGTGTCTTCATAGGCCCCACAAGTGGGAACATCTGCAGTTACCACCCCGACCAGCTTCACGACATCGACGTCGCAATCTGCACCCCGCCATGCCCTGACTCTGCAGGAACAATCGATTGGGACGACCCGCACTGCTGTGCACTCTGTATGGTCTTGGCCAACATCAAGTTCGCAACAAAAAAGATTTCAAATTTCTGCGCTTTCGTGATCGAGCTCAAACCAGAGCTGTGCGAGTTTCAAGATGACTCCGATCCCCCTCTCGAGGAGATCATGCGGTGGCTGACAGACAACGTTGCAGGTGGCTGGTCTCTGTGGTGCGACAAAGTGAGCGCTGCTCAGTGTGGGCTACCGCTACGGCGGCAGAGGATTGCAATCAAACATATCCTCCTCGTCGCCTTCTCCGATGTCCTTTCTCCCAGCCCCCTTCCTCCTCTTCCTCCTGGCCCCCTCCTGCCGAGGCTGTACGTACGCGGGCGATGCGACGAGTTCTTCGAGACGCAGGGGCCCCTCACCAGGGCGAGCGAGGTCACGATCGAGAAACCTCGCATGCGTGAGTTCCTGAACGAGAGCGAAGCTCCACACTGGATGAACCCCCGTCGGCAAGAGCTCACGGAGTTCCAGGCCTCAAGGGGCCCACAGGGGGGAACGCACGAGAGATGAAGTTGCGATCGGGATTCGATGAGGTTTCGAGGCTGCGACGTCGCAGCCTCATCGAAACCTCATCGAAACTTAATCGCAACCTCATCGCGCGTCCCCTCGAAAGAGGGAAACCCTCCGAAAGGAGAAGAACCTGCAGGTGTACAAGGCCGCCCTGGAGGCCGTCAAAGAGAGGATCCCCCCCGACACGGCGCGCGCGTTCGACCTGGACCGCGCGCCTGGGGAACTGACCGAGGCATGGGGAGAGCACGGCGAGATGGAAGAGGAGGAGAAGGAAGAGGAGCTCGAGGAGGAACGAAGAGGAGGAGGAGGAGGAGGAGGAGGAGGAGGAGGAGGAAGGAGGAGCGGCCCAGCGGCCGTCTTCGCTGCGGCGGGGGGAGGGGGGGGGGGGCCTCCCCCCCTCCTCCTCCTCCTCCTCCTCCTCCTCCTCCTTCTCCTCCTCCCCCTCTTCCCCCTCCTCCTCCTCCTCCTCCTTCTTCTCCTCCTCCTCCTCCTCCTCGTCCTCCTCCTCCTTCTCCTCCTCATCCTCCTCGTCATTCTCTGCTTCCCAGTTTGACTTCGACGACGCGGTCGAGATAAGCCACGACATGCCGAACTTGTGGCTCCTTGGCATTCAACCCCGAGGACACAACTACGACAGGTTTCTGACTCCAGAGGAGCGGTGCAGTTTGATGGGCTATGATTTGAACGTTCGCACACGCGTGGAGAAGGAGAGCGAAGTGAGGCTCCTGAGCGATGACACGGCTTTGAATCAATTAGGTTTGGTGATGGCGGCCCTGCTTTCGGGCCTGAAGCCGTCGAATGCTGGTGATTAGTGGTCTGCGCGTGGCGGCGCACGACGAGAACCGCGGCGCCGCGGCTGGCGTCGTCTGTTGTCGTGGGCAATCGTGCCTCCTCCTCCTCCTCCTCCTGCTCTACCTGTTCCTCCTCGGCTACTTTTCCTCCTCCTCCTCCTGCTGTTGCTGCTGCTGCTGCTCCTCCTCCTCCTTCCGCCTCCGCCGCCGTCGCCTGCCGACGCCGCCGCCGCGACGGCGCCAAGGGGGTCTTCTTCCTCTTTCTCCCTGCTGCAGCTTTCCTCCTCCTCCTCCTTCCTCTTCCTCTTCCTCTTCCTCGTCCTCCTCCTTATAATGGGGTTTTTCAACATATATATATATATACATGTATGTGTCTATATATATATATATACCTACATATACAGACATACATATACATGAATACATGCATGCATGCATGCATGCATGCATGCATGCATGTATACATACATACATACATGCATACATTCATACATACATACATGCATGTATACATACATACATACATACATACATACATACATACACACATACATACATATATATATATACACAACTACACATACATAAACATATACATATACATATACATATACATCATACATACATGCATGCATGCATGCATGCATTACATACATACAAAAAACGCTTCCGCTCCTCCTCCCTCCTCCTTCTCCGTCTCCTCTCTCTCTCCTCCCCCTCCTCCTGCACCTCCTCCCCGTCCTCGTCCTCCTCCTCCTCGTCCTCCTCATCCTCCTCCTTCTTCTCTCCTCCTCCTCCTCCTCCTCCTCCTCCTCCTCCTCCTCTTCCTTTTCCTTCTCCTCCTCGCCCTCCTCCTCCCCTCCTCCTCCTGATCCTCCTCCTCCTCCTCCTCCTCCTCCTCCTCGTCCTCGTCCTCCTCCTCCTCCTCCTCCTCCTCCTCCTCCTCCCCCTCCTTCCTTCTTGCGTATATATAGCCATTTTGGCTCAAAATCTCCGGTCTCCCAGGAAAACTCCGGTCTCCCAGGAAAGTTCCGGTCTCCCAGGAAGTTGGCTTCAAGGCCGGCTTCCCCTGGGAGACCGCCAGCCACCGGTCTCCCAGGGAGAACTTCGCAACCGTAGGGTACTCCACCTCTTCCTCGACCCCTCTCCGAGTCCTACCCTGCAGGAGGCCGAGGTTCGGAGGCTACTGGCGAGGAAGCCGACGACTACACAGATGACGATCAGCTGGACGACGATGCGGCAGACCTCTCCGAGGCGGATGTTGCGGCCATCTTGGCGGAGATCAACGACCAGGACCTGACAGAGGGCGAGGCCGAGGAGGTCTACCTGCAGCTCGAGAAGAAGGTACGACAGCGGACCTGGCAACAGAACAAGGACCTCAAGCGCGTGGCCAAGCAAGATCGAGAATTCTTCAAGGCACCGTCCCGCGATCGCCCCGGTCAGTCCAGCCGAGGAGGTCGACTACCAGGCCGAGGCCAAGGCAAGGGCTCAGGCTGGGGGGAACGCGACCGCGCGGAAAGGAAGCCGCGCCTGTCCATCCAGCAGCTGATGAAGGTGACGAGCTGCCACAAGTGCAAGAAGAAAGGACATTGCTCTCGAGAATGTCCGGAGTCGCCGCAGGCTGGAGGTGCCATCGCCGACCGGCGCGGCATCAACGGCTACGCGTTCGACGGCTTCAGCTACCCGGTCAACCTGCCCGCCGGCCTGGCCAAGCTGCAGGAGGCGCAGCAGGAGGCCGGGGCCATCTTCCAGAACGCCTCCGCCACCCAGGGCCTCATCGATCCAGGCGCGGGGGGCGACGTCGTCGGCAGGCCGGCGCTCAACAAGGAGTCGAAGGCACTGGCCAAGCATGGTTTACAGTTCGCGCCGGTGCCTCGAGCTTTCAAGGGGCCGAAGACTGCCCGCGGAGTGGGCGGTGAGGCGAGGGTAGTCGGCGCATTTTCGTTTCCCATGTGCCTCGGCGGTATCTCGGGCATTGAGGAGACTACGGTCATCGAGGAAGATGCCCCACACATCATCAGTGTGAATCTTCCTGATTTTCTCGGCAGCGCCATCGATCTGCCGAGGAACGTGCTTTCGTCAGCCACCCTCCAGAAGGAGAGTGGGCTGACTCGCCTGAGCTCGGGACATCGGATGGCCGACGTCGTTCGCAGCGTGAACGGAGTCACGGACGCTCCGAGCTCGGCTCTACGAAAGTACCCGTTCCTTGACACATAGTTTTTTGCATTGCGAGCAGCAGGCCGCGCGCCCGAGCTCGGAGCTGATGGCGAGCTAGCAAAGTACGTGATTCTCCCCCTCATCACTGTCTTCCCCATATGCCTCACCGTCATCATTATCACTCAACGCTTTCATATGCCAGAAGACGGTCAGGATCTTGATAGACCACCGGGCAAGCTGGTGCACACAGGCATCGTCATCATCGGGTTCAACCGGTCACGGCCTCAGCGGGCCTCCGCAGAACTCGCTCGGGTCTTTGGATCTATCGCGACAACTAAGGAGCAGGCCATCCAGCAGTGCGTGGGGAACAAGGACCTGGGGTTCACGTCTTGGGGCAGTCGGGCTGGGGTCGTCTTTGGGAGCCACTACGGTTCTGACGAGGGCCCCAAGTTGTCTCCGCGTAGCTTGTTTTGGCTCGAGCCACCTTTCGGTCAGTGATTACAAACCTTCGATTTACCGCTCGGGTTTGACACCCAACCTTTTCAGCAATCAGTTTCACGATGATCCTCGGGCGGACGACGGCAGCTCAACCAAGACATCGGCTACCCGCAGCTCCAGCGGGCTACGGTCAGCATCCGATGGCGCCCCAGACGCAGCCCGCCAGCCAAGAGAGGACAGCGGCAGCAGCAACGGCCGCACCGCCTCTCCCGATGGCTCCGGGAGCGGCAGGGAGGACGATATCCGCGCCCGTAAAGCCGCCCCCAGTGACGGGGTCAGCCCAGCCACCCCCTCAGCGCAGTCACCCTCAGCACGCCATTCGCTACTACGGGAACCAGCACGGCAGTGGGAGCAAGTGCTCATTGCGCGGCATTCGTCTCGCGTGGATCCCGAGGGCGGCAGGTCAGCAAGAGCAACATCAGCCCACGGCAGCAGAGGCAGCTCGACTGGCCGCCGACGCAGCCCAGGAGACACTGGAGTTTCTGCGGTCGGACCCGGGATTATGCGAAGGAGGTGCGGCTCTTCAGACAGTCAACTCTTTGTCTCAGCTGTTACAGGGACTACAGTGGCAACTACAAGGACTTCCGGAGGGAGTTCGATCCTTGGGAAAGGTGCAGGAGGTGGTCGACATAATATTTCAGGTAATCACTCTCGCCGAGAACACGCCTTCTCAGACCCAGGAGGGACTACGACAGATCTTCCTCAGCCTGCATCACATCCAGCGGATCCTGGGGACCATGGAAACGTTCGGCGAGGCGATCGACACGCTCCAGGAGTCAGTCAACACCCTCTCCCAGACGGTGGGGAACATCGAGATGGCGATGGGGCAGATGGGCTATATGATGGTGAACGTGGGAACGGCGGCGTCCGCCATTGCCCAGGTGCTGAATACGGGAGCGATTCCGAGCTCAGCGCTGACCGATCCGTGGCAGACGACGGCTCAGGGGAACGGAGCCTCGAGCAGCACATGACCCAACCCGCTGGAGCAGCCTCACCATGGACCACCTCTCCCGGTCCATCCTCCTCAGCCAGATCAGCAACAGCTACTGGTTCAAGCGCAAGTGCGGGCAGCTCTGCTTCAGCAGGCGGAGGCGGCTGCAGCGGGACAGGCGGCAGTGTCGCAGGCGAACACAAACCCACCGCTTCCCGACGACCCACCTCCAGAGTGGCCAGCGGGAGCAGAGTGGTCCCCGGCCCCAGAGTCCTCTGCGCCGGCAGCCAACTCGCAGGAGACGACGGCCACCACTACCACAGCTACCTTAGCGACCATTGCCGACGAGCCGACGGTCGAGCAGACCTGGGAGCTCGTCTGAGAGGATCCTTTTCGAGCTCTCCTCCGACGGAAGGTCGGAGAGCCAGTTCAGCTCTTGGACTGGCCAGCAGTTTCTGTGGCTGCTCGCATGCTTCTTTTTCGTGCAATATGCCCCTGGCGGGGCACGCTGAGCCACCCTCCTCCTTCCTCTCCTCCAAGTCCTATCCCGCGCCACCCATGCACGTATTTTCAGTAACCGCATCGGGTCTCGGGGCCAAGTTAGGAGAAAAGCGGCCCCCTCCCTGGAGGGACAGTGGCCGCCGACTTTGCTGGGCCCGAGTGGACCGACGGAGATGCCACCAACGACGATCGAGAGGTCCAGTGCAACGAGAGGGTTCGTGAAGCTCTCGAGATCATCGCCTCGGGCATGCGAGGCGAAGAGGGCCACGCTCCGGGACCTAAGCCCAGACGGACCAAAGCTCACACCACTTTTCTCGAGGTCTTCTCTCCTCCTAGGATGCCCCCCGAGGTTCAGAGTCTTGGGGGAAAGGTTGGGCAGGAACCGAGTCGAGACCTCACCGCCGGGTGGGATTCGCGGGTCCGGGCCGATCGTGGCGAGCTCCGGGAACAGATTCGAAACGAGGATCCAGACACTATCTGGCTCTGTCCGCCCTGTCGAGTTTTCTCCGCGATCAGCCGGATCAGCGAGGCGGTCCGAGACCCGATCGAATGGTCTGATGCGGTCGCCGAAGGCGTGAGCGATCTGATATTCTGCGTGAATGTCGCGGCCGATCGGGTCCGCAAGGGCTGGTATTTTGCCTTAGATCATCCCTTGTTCGCCAGCTCGTGGCCCACTAAGATGCAGTGGCTCTCCAGGCTCCCAGGGGCGCGCCGAGTAAGGGTAGAAATGCGCGCGTTCGGGCTCAACGTTACGGGGGGGACTAAACGAGAAGCCCACGGGGATCCTCACCAATTACCCAGGCACGCAGGCGGCTCTGGACGGTCAGTTGTGCTCCGGTGATCACAGGCACGCGTGGTTGGAAGGGGGTGCGAGGACGTCTCGAGCGCAACGGTATCCCGAGAAGTTCGTCAAGCTCGTGAGTCGAGCGGTAGTTGAAGAGTGGAGCGGGGTCCGTCGGCATCGCCCCTCGCCCTGGGCTGAGCTCGACGAAGGATGTTATCCGACTGGCCCTCTTCCGGACGAAGAGCCCCCCGTAGAAGACGCGGAGGCGCTTCCAGGAGATAGCGACCAGGAAGATGAACCAGAGACCAGGCCTCCACCCGGCCCCCAGGTCTCGGAGACGTCCCGGGAGCTAACCGAGCAGGAAAAGCGCCTCTTTTTCCGGCTCCATGTGAACATGGGGCATTCTGACCAGCGCAAGTTCGTTCGTGTCCTTTGGGCGGGAGGAGTCCAGATCCGGTTTCTGAGGCGGGTTCGAGATAATTTCCGCTGCTCCGAATGCGAAGAGAGGTCGCAGACCAGCCCCCACAGGAGTGTTGCTCTTCCCAGGACTTTCCGTTTCAATCACATCGTAGGGATAGACGTTTTTCACGTCGGTTTCCAGGATAAGACTCTGGCCTTTTTGAACATTGTTGATCGCGGATCGAATCTGCAAGTGTGTGCCAAGATAGAGGAGGTCACGTCCGATGCCGTGTGGAGCGCATTTGTTCGCTCATGGATCCGACCTTTCGGGGGCCCCCACTTTGTTCTCTCGGATGGAGGGCCAGAATTCGGGGATAGGTTCGCTAGAGGTTTGGAGCAGCGGGGGGTCATGCACCATGTCTGCGATGCCCATTCGCCTTGGCAGAACGGCCGAGTTGAGAGGCACGGAGGTTGGATCAAGGAGAGGATTAAGGCCGAAGTGGAGTCTGGTTCCGCCCTTCCAGGAAACGAGTCGGAGCTCGAGGATTTGGTTTATGAGCTGTGTGCCCACAAAAACAGGTTTTGGCACCGAGGAGGTTTCTCTCCTCTCCAAGTCGTGCTTGGAGAAAACCCAAGATTTCCACACGAGCTGTTGTCAGACGATGGCCTCGGGTTGCCCGGTTGGCGGGGCGCCATCCGTCCGGCGCCCGAGCAGGATTCCGCCGGAGCCGAGTTTTTCCGAGCTCATAGGATCCGGGAATGCGCGCGAAAGTTGGCCATGGAGTCGACAGCTCGCGACAGGCTATCCATGGCAGCTCGAGCGCGCCCGCCACCGACAGCCACCACCACTTTCTCTCCCGGTCAGTGGGTGTTCGTTTGGCGACGTCTGACCAGGTCCGGACCCAGGTCTGACACCCTTGGGAGAAGAAGAGATGCCTGGACGGGCCCCAGGGTCGTGGTCCTTAGCGAAAGGGGGACCGTTTGGGTTGCGGTCCGGGCGCGCTTGTGGAAATGCCCCCTTAAGCAGGTCAGGCCAGCCAGTCCTGAAGAAGAATTCGGACAGCAGCTGGCCCAAGATCCTCAGTGGGCCGAGTTGCTGTCGCAAGCTCGCTCCAGGGGAGCGGCCGCCGTAGATGTGCAAAGAGAAGGTCCTCCACCCGACGAGGCATGGGACCAACCTCTTTCCCCAGAGGCCGACTCGGCCCCCATCCCTCCGGTTCGAAACTCAGGAGGTGACGATTTTCCCGACGCCCCCGCACCTGGCGAGCCACCTTTCCGGGGACGCGAGGGAGAGCGAGTCGGAGACCGAGGCTCTCCTCCGTCGGAGGGCGACTCCGTCGCGGCCCGATCGCTGAAAGCATCGAGGAGGACACCTCGGGCACGTCTCGACTCGCGTCAGGCTCCAGCGAGGCCATTTCGGCACCGCCCGGCCTGCCGGTGCCAGCGCAGCTTGGAGCGGATCCGGCCGCGGTGTCGAGGGAAGCCACCGGAGTGAAAGGAAAGTTGCGACAGCCAGACGATACCCCGTTCTGTGCTAGGCAGACCTTAGAGAAGAGGGCTAGGTTAGAGCCCCCTCCCGGTCTTCCTCCACCGCCCATCAGAGAGGAAGCTCAGGCCGGGCCAGGAAGCACGGATCCTTCATCCTCCTCCGGGGCTCCTCCTCTCGCTCCTTCCTCTTCTCTTCCTCCTCCGCCGCCCCTCTCTCCCGCTCCTGCGTCTCCTTCTCATTCGCCCGTTGTGGAGGAGGCCGACGGTGGCACTCCAAAGGTTAGTGACAGGGTTCGCTAGATCGAGGATTCGCTCCGAAGATCACTTGTTAGACCTCCCCCCACAGGCGTCAGCCCGCCACTGCCCAATGCCACCTTTTTCGCCACTCCCACCGAGCAGGAGAGCGTCGTTCTCACAGAAGAGAACCGCGCAGAGGTGTGGGCTGCCAGCCGAGGCGGAGAGATAATTTTAAGCAAACTCACTCCGGCCGAGAGGGCCAAGTTTGAAGTTTCGGACGATTCCGAGTGGAAGACAATGCGAGAGTCAGGAGCCGTTGAAATCATTCCCCTGAAGCAGGCAGAAGCTTTGCGTCGTTTGCACGCGAATCGGATTATCACGAGCCGCATGGTGCGACGGTGGAAGCCGGTGGAGGGCGCGGTTGCGGATCCCACTGCCGAGAGCAGATGGTGTGTGCACGGTCACAAGGGCCCCGACGCCCGATCGTTTTTCGCGTGTGCTCCGACCCCCCAAACCACCTCCATCCATGTGTTTATACCAGTTATGATGAACCTTGGTCTTTGGGGAGACATCGCGGATGTCAAAATCGCTTTCTGTCAGCCAGACCCCATCTGTCGATCTGGGGAAGAAATCTATGTGGAACCATGCGAGGGCATCAAGGTTGAACGCGGATCGTTGATCCGTCTCAAGGTAAGAAGCGTGTATGGTTTGGACGATGCCCTCCTTGCTTGGAGGAAAACCATTACGGGATACCTTAAGGAGCAGGGTTTCACCAGGAGTTTGCTCGAGCCCTGTTGGTGGATTCGATACTCCAAGAAGGGCGTGATCGAAAACATGGTTCTCCTAGAGGTGGACGACTTCTTCATCGCGAGTCGCGCCCAGGGGAATCGCCAGTGGATTCGCGAGGTGTTGCAGTCAAGGTTTCGCTTCGGCAAGTATAGAGACTGCCACGCCGGCCCTGTAGAGCACGCTGGCAGACGGGTCGTTTTCTCTCCTCAGAAGGTACATTCGACCAAGAGAAATACATCCTCGAGGAAGTCCGCCCCATTTCCATGGCCCGGGGACGGCTAGGAGCGAAGTCTGCCCCTCTCTCTCTCTCTCGCTCTCTCTCTCTCTCTCTCTCTCTCTCTCTCTCTCTCTCTCTCTCTCTCTCTCTCTCGAGAGAGAGAGAGAGAGAGAGAGAGAGAGAGAGAGAGAGGAATTTAAGGCCTTGCGTCCTGTGGTTTATAAGCTGAACTTGGTCGGGCGAGAGACCCGCCCAGAGGCCGCTGGCACCGCGAGCATTCTCGCCAGTCGCCTCAAGGATCCGCCCACCGGAGATGCGGCGTGCGCCGACAAAATGGTGAGGCATGTTCGGGCCACGGCTTCAGAAGGCTTGGCCATCTGGAAGCTGGATCCGGAGGCCATGGCGTTTGTGTCGTTTTCGGATGCCGGGGGAGTTGGAGCCAGCGAGGGCCAACAGGACGCCAAGGGACTCCCCGAGGACCCCACGCAGGGTGCCTGGATGATCCTGGCCGCGGACCGTAGCGTGATAGTTAACCGTGCCGTCAAGGCCGCTATACTTGCGTGGCGGAGCTGCAAGCTCCGGCGCAAGGTCACATCGACCTTGGCCGGAGAGACACAGGCCCTGACTGCCGCAGTGGCAGAGGTGGAATTTCTACAAGTATTATACCGAGATGTTATATTTCGAGACGTAGATGTTTCGGATCAGCGCCGAGGGTCCGGGCCGTTTACGACCGCTTTACGAAGGGATTGTTCTCTAGGAGGACGAGAGGAACAGGTACATGTAGTAGACGCTAAGAGCATATATCACACTATGCGAAAAGAGGGCAATGCAAGTGCTCGAGATAGACGTACTGCTCTCGACTTGGCTGTGATTCGTGAAGCTTTAGAGCACGCTCGTGGGCATGTGCACTGGATTCCCCACGGGAGAATGCCGGTCGATTGTATGTCTAAGGATGACATTTCAAAAGGAAACGCAGCTCTATCCAATCTACACGCCAGTGGAATGATTGTTCTGGTTGACGAAGATAACGAGATGGCGCTGCGCAGAGACAAGCCCGACCAGAAGGACCGGTCTCTATCTGCCTCCAAGAGGATTCTAGACAACGACGACCGACTGGTGGGCTGGCAGGAGTTTGTGCTTCCCGCCGACAGTGTTCGTTCCGAGGTGCTCAGCAGGATGGACCACTCGAGTCCTTCTCTCTCCTCCCTCTCCCCTTTTCCCTCACCGTCCGGTGGGCCGGACGTCTGACTGGTTTGTACAGATACTGTTTGATCTCTTGGGGTTGCTAAACCTAAGAGAAAGCCTGACCAGCGTGGCTGCAGTCTCGATTTTGTGAGATAGGTTTAGCAGAGAGATCCCCTAGAAGGGGAACAGTGGAGCAGAGAGCGAAAGGACGTTCATCCGTCCTCATCCTGGCTCAAGGTCAAAACACCTGCTTGCTCCTGCCTCTGCCACAAGGTGGCGTCGATCCCCCCCACATGCTGGGGGTGCACAGGCGATTGATGCGCCGGTGGCGCGGACGCACCCTGACAAGTGCACGCCGCGGCCGCCGTTGACCTTACCCTCCCGCCCGACCCCCCCCCGGGCAACGACCGCTACTGGGGAAAGAAAAAAAACGGTCACACAAAAACCTTGAGATCCGACGTCGCAGCGAAATTTCAAGGGCATAAAAAAACGCCCCTACCCTCGTTCACGAGGCGCTGTGCGCTGAAACTCCTGTGGGCTGACAGGGTAAACCCTGCGTGATGTGCCGCGTCCTGGCGGCTCTAGGCTTTGGGGGTTCCCAGGAGGTTTACAGACCACGCACTTGTAACCCAGGGTAGGGTCGTTTTTTCATCCCTCAAAAATTGCAACTTCACGAAAAATGGCGACAGGGGCCTCAGACCCCATCTTTCTGCACCATCTCTGGAGGCAGATCGATCCGCTATGGTCCCGAGCCCCGAGGCTGAGCGAAAACGCGCAATGCGAAACAAATGCGACGCCCAGGTCGCAGGATCGTCGGAGATCTGGGTCGTGGGCCGAACAAGAAGAGATGGGGTCGGAGGATCGCGCCGCACCGCCGAAACATCGCCGATGCGGCACGGCGTGGATCCCGATGTTCTCCACGCCGACGGCGCCGATGCATCGCCGACGTCGCCGACGCATCGCCGATGCATCTGATATGCATTGGCGAAGCGGCGCCATCCTCCGACCCCATCAACAACCTCGCGAAACATTGCAACCAGAGCCCCTGACCCCATCTCTCTGCGCCATTTGTCGAGCGGGATCGATCTGCGAGGGTCCCGACCCCCGAGGCAGGGCGACTCCAGATGTGTTTTCAATTTTGGAGCCCCTGGGGCCCTCTGGGCCTCGTGAAGGGCGATATGGAAACGGCCCAAGAGGGCCCTAAGACTGCCTAAGATAACCTAAAGACGGCTCTAGAGGCGCGCAAGACGCCCCAAGAGAGTTCCGAGACGGCCCCAAGAGGGCCATTAGATTTAACACACATGTAACACAAACCGCTTCCTCGTCAAGGACGGCCGCGTGTCAAATTTGTATTAAATTATTGCGGTTCTGGGGCCTCCCTGGGAGCTCCTTCGGCGCCACTTTTGGCCCCCCCAGGCTATCCTCAAAAGCTCTCGTGGGGGCCTGTGGGAGTTTCAGGGGAGCCCCGGGAGGTTTCTGGAGGCCTTGGAGGCCCCGCAGATCCCCAGAGTCCGGAGGCCCCGGAAAAGCAAAATACGTCCCAGAACGTGCAAACTTCCGTTCACGTCCACAGACGACGACCACCTCCACCACCACCACTACGACCACTGCGACGACCACCGCGATGATCACCGCGACGGCGGCGGCGGCGCCCGCGGGGGCGGCGGCCTGGCGGCCCAGAGCTCCTGGGGCCCTCATCGGCCACCGTGGCAGTCACGGCACTTGCGCAGTCTGGGAAGTATTCGGAACCTTTCGACGCGTCGCACGTCGATCATCGCACGGTTCCGCGACCGCCCCGCGCGGTTCTAGTACACACACATATATATACAGAGAGAGAGAGAGTGAGAGAGAGAGAGGGAGATGTGTGGACAGCCCCCCCAGCAGACGGTTGCGCTTTTCCTTTCTTTTCCTCCTCCTCTTCGTCCCTCGCTCTCTCTATTTCCCCGTGTCCCTCCCTCCACACAACATATAGACACATATTTAGACACACACACACACATATATATATATGTATATATATGTATGTTGATATTGCTCGTTGTGTATATCTATGTTTTTTTTGTTGTTCTCTCTCTCGCTCTCTATTGCCCCCTCCCTCCCAAAGATATGTGTCTCTTGTTTGTTATTTCTCTCTCTCTCTCTCTCTCTCTGTATATTTATATATATATATATATATATATATTCTCTCTCTCTCTCTTTCTCCCTCTCCCTTCTCTCACGGGTCCCCTTCCCAGGCGTGGGTTCCGATCACGTTACGCAAGGTTTGCGATGTCAGGGGTGCGGAACCCCATGCTGCTACATTTGAAGTTTTGGGATTTCTGGGATGAAATGTGAGGAAACAGTGTGCTCAATCTGTTTTTTACCTAACAGCGTTTGCTGATAGGTTTCTAGTAGGGTCAAAAGAGAGCATCATGACTCCTCAGGGGGGTCTGGGCGGGTGCCGGGGAGGAGAACCGGGAATCGTTTTTCGCCAACAGTCACACACTTCCTGCTCTTCGACCTCCCAGAACTCCATTCCCGGGACACATTCTGGAGAACCGGGAACAGAGCCGGGCTCGCTTTTCGCCAACAGTCACACACTTCGTGCTCTTCGACCTCCCAGAACTCCATTCCCGGGCCACATTCTGGAGAACCGGGAACAGAGCCGGGCTCGTTTTTCGTCAACAGTCACACACTTCGTGCTCTTCGACCTCCCAGAACTCCATTCCCGGGCTACATTCTGGATGCCCGGAGCCAACTGTAGGCCACTTCGTGCTCTTCGAGTTCGCCACTTCGTGCTCTTCGAGTTCCCAGAACTCCATTCCCGGGCCACATTTTGGATGCCCGGAGCCAACTGTAGGCCACTTCGTGCTCTTCGATTCCCAGAACTCCATTCCCGGGCCACATTTTGGATGCCCGGAGCCAACTGTAGGCCACTTCGTGCTCTTCAAGTTCCCAGAACTCCATTCCTGGGCATGATTTTGAATGCCCGGAGCCAACTGTAGGCCACTTCGTGTTCTTCTAGTTCCCAGAACTCCATTCCTGGGCCACATTTTGAATGCTGAGGCAGGCTGATGCTGCGGCCGAGGCAGGCTGAGGCTGAGGCAGGCTGAGGCTGAGGCCGAGGCTGAAGGCAGACTGAGGCTGAGGCTGAAGCAGACTGAGGCTGAGGCTGAGGCAGGCTGAGGCTGAGGCTGAAGCAGGCTGATGCTGAGGCAGGCTGAGGCTGAGGCTGAGGCTGATGCAGGCTGAGGCTGAGGCAGGCTGAGGCTGAGGCCGAGGCTGAAGGCAGACTGAGGCTGAGGCTGAAGCAGGCTGAGGCTGAGGCTGAGGCAGGCTGAGGCTGAGGCAGGCTGAGGCTGAGGCTGAGGCAGGCTGAGGCTGAGGCTGTGACTGCGACTGCCGTTGCCGCTGCGACTGTCATCGCGAATGCGACTACGACTGCGAGAACAGCAGAATTCTACAACTGGATTTTCATCTGAATCTTAAGGGGAATGCTTTCAGATATGCTTCTACATATCGCTGTTAGGTTGCTTTGCCGGGATAATCGTATAGATTTTGGGGGTTCACATCCTTCCATCGAAACTCCCGCCCAGGAGCCCTCCCAGGAACGCCGATCCCTTCAGCCCCAACAGCCCAAATTGAAACGCAAAATTTGCAATGTCAGGTGTGCGGGAACCCTGTCTTGTCGGTCGGATGTTTGGCATTTCTCATGGGCCAAGACAGCCCACGAGGCCCCAGAAATCGGCCCAAGACAGTCCAAGCGGCTCCCAAAGAGGGCTCCAGGACGGCCCAAGAGAGCCCCAAGACGGCCCAAGGACGCTCCAAGACGGCCCCAAGAAGGCCCAGGAGGTCCCAAATGGCTTCAGGAGGGCTCCAAGAGGGCCCCGAGAGCCTTCTAAAAGGCCCCAACAAGGCCCCGAGACAGCCAAAGCCTTCCAAGACACCCCAAATGGGTCCCAGGACGGCACGAGGGGGCTTGAAGTGGCCCGGAGAGGCCCCAAGAGGACACCCAAGAAGGCCCGGAGACGCTAAATGCATAGATATTCGTCTTGCTCCTGTATCTCATCACGTAACGAGTTCCAAACACCAAGGATCCTAAGTGCGGAGGGTGGTGTGAGCTCAAGACGGCCCAAAGAGATTCCCCACACGCTGAAAAGACGACTTGAAGGGAGCACCAAGAGCGCTCAGGATGGCCTCCGCACAGCTCAAGAGGTCCCCAGGACACCCCAGGAGAGCCCCCGACGCGCCCCAAAGAGGCTTTGAGAAGGACAAACACATTCTTGAGGTGTTTGTAGAATTTTTGTGTTTTCGCTCTTCCTGGATTCCGACCGCCCAAGACGGCTCCCAGCCGGCACAGGATGCCCCTAAGACGGCCTCGGCACGGCCCTCAGAGGGCCCGAAGACAGCCCAAGAGGCCCCCCAATTGGCTTCAAAACTGCCCCAAGAGATTCCCAAGATGACCACGCGAGCCCCCCCGTAGCCACTTTGGCTCAAGCCAGTTTGGCTCAAGCCATTTTAGTATCAAGGTCGCCGGCATCCTTGATGTGCCCGTCGAGCTCACCGCTTGTCGCCATCAGATTGTAAGTGTGGGGGATGGCTGGGGGGCAGGCCGCCGCTGGATGTCCCCTTCTGTCAGTGGCTGCCTCAGATCACTCGATGGAGTCAGAGGCAATGGTGCGCAGGGACAGGAAGGAGGAGAAGGACGCCGACGCCATCCCCGATGGCTCAGAACCAAAACTGGCTCACCGCGTTGGCGCGCTCATGGCGACTGCTGTGGCTCTCTTTGCCCTTAGCGCCTTCGGTGTATGGTTAATCTCTGGCCCAGGCGCTGGCGCCGACACCAGCGCCGACGCCAGCACCGACAGCTCCCTAGAAAGAAGTGCCATGGTTCGTGTCTCCAAGGTGGCACCAATAGGCTGCAAGACAGTCCCAACAGGACCCCATAACGGCCAGCACCCGATGGTCCGATTGCCTGTGACCGACTAGAACCGAAGCGCGCGCGAAGCGCGCGCGTGCTGCACGTACGAAAACTATTGTGGGTGGTCGTCACATTCAAGCAGTGGCGAAGCCGCTTCCTGGCTCGCCTATAGCCCTACCAAGCAATGTTCTAAGAACCGTTTGTGGTTTCCACGAAATGTTCTTAGAACATGTATGGTTGAGATTGTCCTGTTGGAACACATCGGGGTTATGTTCTAAGAACCTTGTTTTTGTTATTCGAACATGTTTGGGTTCTAAGAAAATTTCGTGGTAGGACTATAGGAATGCTGGGACGGTCGGTCACTGCTCAACACATATTCATTCCCAAACTCTCCCATCGAGCACTGCATGTGTCGCCGCGCCGTCTGTTCCGGCGCGCGGCCCCTACGTCCTGGGAGGCAAAAGCGCCGCCTCGGGTTGCGGTGGACTTGGCCGTGGGGTTCGCCGCGGTGCCAGCGTCGTCGATTTGGGTGCGGGACGCAAGGATCGCCGTGGGTTTAGGGGAACAAAAAGTGGCATAAACATAAAAACTCAGAGGTCCGCGCGGATTTCTCGGATCGGCGCTGGGCGCCTCCGGCGCCGCCGCTGGCGCGCTCCGCGCGCCAGGGAGGGGGGTCCAGCGCCGATCCGAGAAATCCGCGCGGACCTCCGAGTTTTTATGTTTATGTCACTTTTTGTTCCCCTAGGTTCGCCGTGGGTTTGCCGTGGTGTCGGCGTCGTCCACTTGGGCGCGTCGAGAACAGACGGCGCGGCGATATATCAAAGAGAGAATCGAGCAGCGCATCGTCTGCAGGGAGATGGCGTGCGCGTGCAGGCAGAGGCCTGGGATCCAAACAGCCTCGAAAGCAGCGCGCGCACACGCACGCACAAGCGCACACGCGCGCACGCAGAAGGTCGGCGGTTCTCTCCCCAGGCGCCTCTGTGCCAGCGTGTGCCGTTCACGCGGCCCCCGCAACGGTACTTCCCAGCGGGGGGGGCGCGCAGAGGAGACGCAGACAGCCAAGAAAACGCTGTCTCAGAAGGTGGCCGAGATGAAGGCACCCTCCCCGAGTGCACAGATACCCGGGGGGAGGGGGGCGGGGAAAGGGAGCGCGGAGAGCGGGGGGGGGGCGGCGGAGAAGTAGGCAGAAGAAGGGGCAGACACTTCTTTCTGAGGCATTTTTCGAACCAGATCGATCTGCGAGGGGCCCGAAAGCGGGCGGAAACGCCCGGTGTGAACAGAATTGCGTTGCCCGGATTTTACGGCGGTGGCTGGTGGTCGAGGAGCAGGTGGAGCTTGTCCGGGTGGAGGATGGTAAGATGACAGCGGCGGTGGCAAGCACGATGGGGAATGTTGTGCGCATCCCGAGTCAGCCGTCAGCAAGAGATTGTGCTCCCAGCGGGCGTTCCCTCTGGCAGGGGGCAGGTCCTGCAGGGAGAACCACGAGGGCGTGAAATTATTCGCGGCTCGCGGTCCTCATTCCTCCTCCTCCTCCTCCTCCACCTCCTCACCCTCGTCCTTCTCCTCCTCCTCCTCCTCTTCTACTCCTCGTCGTCGTCATCCTCCTCTCCTCCTCCTCCTCCTCCTCCTCCTCCTCCTCCTCCTCCTCGTCCTCGTCCTCGTCCTCCTCCTCCTCCTCGTCCTTCTCCTCCTCCTCCTCCTCCTCCTCCTCCTCGTTGTCGTCGTCGTCCTCCTCCTCCCTCCTTCTCTCCCCGGCGGCGGCGACGCAAAGGTGGTCGCGCTTCACGCAGCTCGAAGCGCGCGCGAAGTCAGGGGCCCTTGGAGAAAGGGGGGGGGAGAGGGGCAGCGCGAGGGCGAAGGGGGGGAGAGGGGAGGGGAGGGGGCAGGAGGGGGGGGGGGCAGGAAGGAGGGGGGGGGGGGGACAAGCCAGGTGCGCTCGCGCCAGATCTGGCATCCTCTCCCTCCCGCACGTCCCCTCCCCTGCTGAATGGTCATCTTCAGGAGGGGAAAAAACACACAGACACAATTAATCGTCGATCCCTAGGAAAATATAGGAAAATATGGAAAGTGGGGGGAAGACAAACACCCAGAAAATATGGGAAACTATGGGGAATATTTTTATGTGTGTGTATTTATTTGTGTGTCCAGGGGCCCCTTCAGAATGGTCATCTATCCGCCGTCGCATATGTGATAGCGAACCTGGAGCTTCAAGCGGGACCTCATCGTCTTATGCGCAGCAGGAAAAGGGCAGTTGCGTGCATTGGAGGAGGAGGTGGTGGATGCGCAGGAGGAGGAGGAAGAGGAGGTGGAGGAGGAGGAGGGAGGGCAGCAGCGGCAGGAGCTGGAGCGGAAGGAGCGGGAGGAGTAAGAGGACCAGGGGGAAGCGGAGAAGGGGGGCGACTCCGATGCGGAAGGACTCGGATGCAGTAAAGTGGCCGGCGCTGCGGCGATAGTACCAGTCTGAACAGTTCGAGCAAAGCGCCGACCCGAAAATGAGGCCCACGCTGCAGCGGCAGCACCGTCTTGAAAGACCGAGAGCGCATTGACGGGAAATCAGCATTGGGGCTATCAAATTATGAATACTGCGTGCGAGAGAGCAACGCACGGAGAGGGCGGGACATCTTCCAGACAGAGTCAGGGAAGAATGGAGAGTAGTATTCGTATCAAGCTAGGTGTACATCACTCGCGCCATATCTGACATTCGACCCCTCCTACCCATCCCATTGCGCTCATGTTTTCCTACCCGCCGACGCGTGTGATAGCGGACCTGAAAAAGAACTCCATCGTTTTATGCTCAAAGGGAAAAGGGGGAGCTGCTTACATCGGAGAAGGAGGTGATCGATGAGCAGGAGGAGGAGGAGAAAGATGACGAAGGAGGAGGACGATGACGAGCAGCAGCAGCAGCAGGACCTGAAGTGGAAGGAGCGGGGGGAGCAAGAGGACCAGGGGGGTCGGAGGAGGGGGAAGGAGGGGGGCGACACCGATGTGGAAGAACTCGGATGCAGAAAAGTGGCCCGCGCCCCAGCGACAGTGCCATTCTGAACAAGGGAGCAAACCGCCGATCCTAAATTGAGGCCCGCGCTGCAGCGGCAGCTCCATTTTGAAAGACCGAACGCGACCATATTGTAAACAATCAGCTAAGCATACCAGCGGTTGACATCCTGAAAGAAGCGCAACTCGGAAAGAACTGGACATCTCCGGCACGGGTCAGACGCTCTTATATAGTGCCATTGAGGAGTAATTGTTGAGGGAGGAGGGAAGAGGGCGAGCTGGATGAAGAGCCAGGGGCGACGGCGAGAGCGAGGCGGGAGGGGGAGTGGGGAAGGCTCGGGAGGAGGAGAGCGCAGGCGAGGACGACGATCCACGGAGAGCAAGCATGTAGCCAAATCATTTTCAGATGTCCAAAACATGTTGAAGCATGTCTTAAACATGTAAAAGACATGATTTAGACATTTTAAGGGCAGTGTCAAACATTTTAAGCACATCTTGGGTGTCCATTGTCATGGCATCCACAAGGATATCGGCTGGCCCGAGCGCTGTGTCATTGGCTTGCCGTCTGTACATCCGTTAGCCCCTGCACACTTCGGAAACAGAGTGCGCAGGGGCAGGCATCACCGTGCGCGTGCCACTGCTCGTGAAACGCCTTCTCACACACGCCCCAAAAGCACATGTTCGCGTCGACGTCATAAATCGTAGATCCCCCGCGGCGGATCCAGGCCATTTGCGAGTACATACGTTTGCGAGCAATGGAACGCGCTCGTCTAAGGAAGGCCATTGGATGAGGGAGGCAGGCAGGCAGGCAGGGAGGTGGCGGGAGAGGGGCACCAGGGCGGAAGGGAGAAGAGGAGGATCTGAGCGAGGGAGGGGAGGGGCAGGAGGGAGGCAAGGTCTCGTTGTTGGCCTTGGCCGCCGCCGCCTGCTCACGCTCGCCGCTCACTCGTTCGCGTGCCCCTGGGTGCGCCCCACCGCGCCCGCGGCGGTCGGGCGCTTCGGCGGGCGGTGGTAGGTACGCTCGCGGAGCGCGAAACGCAGAAACGCGGGGAGGCAAGGAGTTGCATGGCACAAGAGCTTACTGACACGAACGGATCGAGGTGCATGGCACAGGGGTCTGTTGACATCGTGTCTGACCGGGGCGTTCGCCGAGGCCAGGCCGCGCTGCCAGGCACGCTCTGGGGTAAGTATTCGGATTGTTGTGGCCAGGCTGGCACCGAGCCTGCAGGCAGATTCCACGGTGACGTTCAGAATGGTGAAGCCATCGAGGCACGTCGGTGCGATCGAAGTCGGTACGGATACCTGTACGGAAAGGGGGGGCACAAAGGCCGACAGCTGTTCTTGCCAATTTGGAACAGGTTCGCCGTCGGCGTCGCAGCGGACGTTGTCGATGTGAGACAGAAAGGCCGCCTCCTCAACAGTGGCCCCTGTCGCGGTTTTGGACGGAATCTGTCGTCGGGCATCGTACCTGCTCTTCCCGTATCCATTTCGGGCGCCCAGAGAGAGTATTGGACGTGTGCTTGACCAGCGGCGGCGACACGAGGGCGAGCCTCGGCGTCTGGCTGGAGGAGGCAGCAGACAGGTGCTCCAGGAAGCGGACGGCTGCATTCTGTGTGTGGGGGGGCACATCACGCGCTTAGGCGGCTGGCCCATCGACCTCGTGGATCTAAGGGGGCTTGTTCGCGGCAGCTGTGCAAGCATATAGTGACCCAGGCAACGGGATAACGATTGTCATTGCATTTTGCGGATATTGCTGGTGAAATTGACACAGCGCGTAATCAGTAATATTCAGCCCCCGGACTTAGCAAACCATGGGTTGGGTGCACGCGCGGTTTTCTTCCTGAAGTCGTACATTGATGTGCGCACATCGGGTTTGTGTTCCCAGTCTTCGCTATGCATGCATGGTCTGTGACAATTTTGGCTTACAGGGTTTGCTCGGGAGCGTTTCGCCCACCCACCACGTATCTTTTTCAGGCGGCGCCGATACGGCCCGCTCACGCGGTGCCGATGCGGCCCGTCGTATCTTGCTTGTCCGTCGGTCCAGTCGGCCCTCGCCCCTCCAAGGCCCAAACAGGGCACTCCGCTTCAGCCAAAAACTGAAGCGGTTTTCCTCAGCGTTTCTGACTTTACGATTTCTTCCCCCCAGAAGGCGAACCTCCGAAGTCACAATGGCGCCACCGGTGGTCGGACGGGGGGCTCGGACGAAGACCCATCCGTTCCACAGCGTCGAAGGCAAGCACGCAAACATGCCTGAGCCCCGAGAAAAGCCGCCTCCTGGCCACGCCATGTTGGCCACCAGAGCTCCGACGCCATGATTTCTGTCGCAGCGTGGACCTTCGGAGGCCTGCACCCCGTCCTCGGCACCGGCATGTCGTCCCGGGCCGTGTTTGGACAGCCACGGGGGCCCCGCGGGCCTCCAGAGGCCGCAATCGGCCAAACGCCTCCCGGCGTGTGCTCTTCGCGGCGCGAGGGCCCCGCGTGCCCAGGGTCGCCCCCCTCCCCCGTGCGGGGGCGCGAGGCCGCTCTCTGCGGGCTGGCGCGGGGGCGGGCGCCGAGGCCGCAGGGGACGGGCGGGCGCCTGCCCAGGCCCGGCAGCGGAGCCTCGCGGACGCGCCGGCGGCCGAGGACGAGGCCGGGCGGGCGCTTGTCCTGTTCGCTCTGCCAGCGGTGTGTGGCCGCAGAGGGGCGGAGGGGGAGGAGGAGGAGGAGGAGGAGGAGGAGGGGGAGGGGGAGGAGGAGGAGGAGGAGGAGGAGGAGGAGGAGGAGGAGGAGGAGGAGGAGCCCGCAGCCATTTGGGCTCCAGCTGAAACCGCGGAGCCCTGGCGGCTTCAGGTTGGACGCAGGCGAGAGGCTGGCTCGAGTCCCCGCAGGTTGTCCGCTTCCGACCCCTACAGGAATTTCAGTCGATGTGGATTCGTTTCGGCTTCGAACTCTGTCTGGACATGTCTCATGGCGGCGGGATGGTCTTCCCGGAGGCGATGGCGGCGGAGATCGCTGAAGTTGCCACGTTCCCTGTATACAGGGAAGTCGAGGAAGGCGAGGAGACATGGGTGGCAGCGGGAGCCCTAAGAAGAAACTTCGGGCCCGTGATGATCATTGTGCTATGGCTGCTGTAAATCAGCTTCGAGGCATTGTGGACGACACGGGAGGCGAGGTCATGGGAGCAGTCGAGAAGCTCCAACAGTCCGTCGCCTGTTATTACAGAGCCAGCTGTCGCACTTCAGCTGCTCGGGGGCCACTGGCGACCCGTGCTCGCCAAGAACAGATGAATCAAGTTGCTGCCCGTCATTGTATGTGTCGTAATGTTCAAGGCGTTGATATTTCTGGCCTTCCTCTTCTTCTCCGACGGCGTCTAGACCGTGCTGGAGATGGCCCCTGGGCTTGACGGGCTCCCTCACCGGGCTGGGAGAGGCACCCGTGTGCGTTAAGTTTGTTTGGACTCCGGCGGCAACGAGGCGGCTGCTCCGCGGCAAAGCTACGCGACCGTCCTTCAGTGGTGCGCGGGGGGGCTGCATAGTTGAAGGTGGTGATGAACAAGATGATCTGACGGTTGCCCACGAGGCTTCCCAAGCACACCACGCCGGCTTGGCTTCACGCAGTCCTCCGATAAGCTGAGCACGACCACGACCTTCGAAGGTCTTGGCAAACGTCTTGGGGGGATGTCGATCCTCGCATAGAGGGTCCGCTCGCGGGCAGAACTTCGGTCCGTCGGTCTACACACCTTGGAGCTGGATGTGAAGAGTCGCGTTGTATCCATGCTTCCAGACGCAGCTGTTCGGCTGCCTGCCCTTCCTGCCATCTACCGTGGTCAAGCCTTTCTATATGTTGCGCACCCGTTGATCGCGTCGTGGCTCGAGGCTTTCAGAGTCCCGCCCCCGCTGAGCACCTCCGTGGGCGAGCTCTGCGCCTGTGTCAGATGCTACGGGAGATCCAGCAGGGTTTGCGAGTCCGCCCTCTCAACCGAATCGCGGCTGTTCCAGAGCTCTCCCGGGTCGGGGGCGCTGCTTGCCATCGTCAGCCACGCCTTCCCCGTCGACTCCCGCAGGAGGCTGGAGGCTCCTCGGGAGAGGCGCGAGCCACGCTCGGAGAGGAGCTGGCGGAGGGGCCGATCGCGGGAAGGCCGACCTCGGCCGCGCCTGCGCCGACGAAGTCGGCGCGGCAGCTGTCAGACTTCGCGGCCTCTCGTCGGAAGGCAGTCTTCGACGGCAGTGAGGCCCTCGCGAGGCTCTCACCCTCGAGAGCGCCAGCTGTTCGTGGCCCCGGCGCCCCGCGAGTGCTCTCCCAGGCCCGCCGCCAAGAGCCGCTTCTGCCGCCGAGCGCGTTCCACTCTGCGCGCAGAGTGCCCGCGCCCGAACGTCAGAGCCAAGAGTGTGCCTCGATGTGGGTCGTGAGTCCCCCGCGGCGGATCCAGACCATTTGCGAGTAGTTACTTTTGCGAGTTGTGGAACGCGCTCGTCTACTCTGGATTCGGCATCACATCCCCTCATGGGGCCCGCCTCAGATCGTCGGCTCTCTCGGCCACTTGGCTGCAGTGTTGGAGCCGTCCGTTCCTGCGGGGGGCCGACGAAAACCCGTCGCTAAGTGGGCCGCCCGCAGCGCTGCCAGCTCGAGGGCGGGGGGGCCCCGCCACCATCGCTGGACGGCTCCGGCCCGGGACCGGGAAGAGCGGTTCAGCACGGCCAAGCCGTGCGCGGACCGGTTCGCCCGAAAAGCCCTGCGCCGCTTCAGCGCTCGCGCGCCCGCGTCGGGCCACTCCCTGGAGCGGCGAATCGTGCAGTCGTGCCATCTGTTCCAGGCCGTGCTCTGGCTACTTTTTCGTCCCAGTTTTGCCCTCTCCCCGATGAGTGCCCTGCCTTCTCCCCCCCCGTTTTCGCGCGGAACGCGCCCCCCTCGCCTCCCTCTTCAAAGTCCCTCACTGACTGGGCGCTGTCCAGAGCCAGGCGGTTTAACCTCGGGGCCCGGGGGGCCAGGCCTGCCAGCATGCAAACCATGTGCGCGAGCAGTCTGATGCGCGCGGCCATTCAGACCTTTTCCGAGCACGCCACTCTTCTCAAGCTCAGCTCAGAGAGTACAGGCCGACATCTTGGGCTCCAAGATCTGCCCACCTGGAAGACCCTCTCTGGGAGCTGGCTAACTGGGATGACATTACACGATGGTGCTCCCCAGAGATGTTTCCTAGGATGCGACGCCTTCGACAATGTTGTGCACTGCTGGTCTTGTCCCAGGCGTCTCGAGCTTTTGCGTACAGTCAACGATTCAGATGTTCATTACTGTCCAATTTGCAGGCTCGGTGTATCTCTCCCATCTAAGTCCAGTCTCTCGGCTCCCGCTGTTGCTTTCTTCCTTCTCATAGGTTTCAGTTTTTTGGCATCAGGCCCCGCACGTCCTCCCGGCCGAGGTGGCACGAGGCGTGCTTCCTTTAACTCGTGTGCAATTCGCCAGAGCCACAGTGCGTCGCAGCGGCGGCGGCGGCGTCGCCTGGAGGACATTGGACACGTGGTTCCAGGCTACGCGCAAAGAGGAGGAGGGGGAGGGGGAGGGGGAGGAGGAGGAGGAGGAGGAGGGGGGGAGGGGGAGGAGGAGGGGGGGAGAAGGGGGGAGGAGGGGGAGGAGGAGGCTGTGGCTGCTGCTTTGCCAGCTGGCGCAGGAGAATTACGGGGACGGCGGCGCGCCGATCCTGCGGCGGTGAACCCTTGCAGCACCTTTCGACCACTCGCAGAGGGGGGTAGGGGGAGGGGGGAAGGCTTCTTAGAAGCACCCCTGCTTCTTAAAAGGCGCGGGCCTCGTTTATGTATGTGATGCCAGCGCCTTCTGAGACGCAGCCTTCTTCTGAGAATCCTCCTTCCCCTACCCCTTCTGACCGCCTCCAAGCCTTTTGGAGCCAGGGCTGCAGTTGATGGGCCCTTTTGTGGCCACTTTCCAGCAGCACCCCTCGTTCGCTCCCTTTTTCAATGCTTCCCGGTTGACGCTTACCCGATCCATGGGAGGCACAGGAGAAGATGAATTGCTCCACGCGCTTCGCGCGGCGCGGACGTGCTGATCTGCGTGACCTGGGAAGCGCGCGCTCGGCCTCCGCCAAGCACGCTGCCTTTTTCGGCGTGTGTGCTGCAGCGTTCGCACTTGACCGCGTGCACGGCAGCGTATGAGCAGGATTGCGTTCGGCTCATTGCCCGCGCGCACGGTACGGTAGGTTCGAGTCGTGTTGACGCGGCGGCGACCCCAGCGCGGGCGTTCAAGGTTGAACGCCGCCAGCGGCTTGGAATCGACCTATATTGACATAACGGCTAAAGCACTGAGTGTCCCAATGGGTTGGTACACATGACGCGGCCAGCGTGGGCGAGAGCTGGATACACACGTTGCCTGATACCTTTCCATGGCCAGGCACCCGCTCTCCGAGTGTGTCCAGCGCGAGGTTTAAGTTTCCCGATGTTCACGCGTGAGTCCAGCCGTGTTTTTCCAGTTGCCTGACAGTGCAGTCTGCCTGTTTTGTCGGATGTCCAGCAGGAAGAGTATGGCGAGAGGGAGATCTAACATTGAATCGTTTTGCCAGTTCGGAGGTGGGTATGTGTACGCATTTTCTTCTGGCTTCAAGCGATGAGCAGGTAGGTCGTACTTGCGCTGTCGCGCAGGTGACACGTGTTCGGCCAGTGCCAGTACAGGCTCTCGCACTCTCTGTTCTGCATTTCTTTGTTGTTCGCCGGAACGGAAGGAGGATGATGTGAAGGCACAGGTGCACTCTCTGATGTCGTGACCCTGCCATCTGACGCACTGGCAACTAGCTGAGTGGTATCAGGGACGCCCTCACAGCGACTCAGCATGACGCAAGTTCGAGTAGGGGATCGGCTACAGAATCGATTCACCCCAAAGAAAATGTCTGCCGAATCTACGCACGAATACGTATCATGCTCCGTTGATCTACGAAGCATTCTAGGTATGCTGTTGTCGACTCGACGTAAGGAAGACACTTCTGCGGGGAATCGATTCTGTAGTCGATCCCCTGCTCGAGAAGTATGGATTGCAGAGCGGGTCCGGGAGCAGCCGGCCTCGTGCGCGTGTCCATGGCGCACGGCACGGGAGCCGAAGCCGAGGTGTGTCCCCGGTCGGGGGGGCGCTTCGCTCGCCTCCCCCCCCCCACCCACATGTCAGGGGACTGCTCTTGCACGGTCAACGTTCGGGGAGGGGCAAAAACACACGGAGGCACAACGAAATGCGGATTCCCAGGAAGCTATGGGAGAATAGGGGAAGAGGGGCGGAAGCGAAGGCTCCGAAGATGTGCAAAAATCCAAGGGGAATGCTGGGCTCTGTGTCTGTCTGTCTGTGTGTTCCAGGGCCCCCTTCAAGCGTCTTCGGCCTCGGACGCGAAAGAAGGATGCCCTTGACGCCCAGCGGGGCGTCGAAGTTGGGACCACGGGAAGGGCTTCCCTTCCGATTCGGGCGGGCGGCAAGGGGGGAGGGTGGCGACGAACGCTGGGGGATCGAGGGTTGCAGGAAGGTGGCCCTCAAGGGCCCCTAAAGCTCGGGCGAAGAGAGCTGCGCACGTGCCCCGATCCCGACAACGCCCACCCTTGACCCGGGATCGGTGCAGATACCCTCCTGGCCAAGGTGAGAGGGCGTACGCACCGATCCTGGGCTCGGGACGGGCCTGGCCAGGATCGGCGTTTGTGCATAGCTCTCGTTCCTATAGAAACTGCCACCTCGGGTCCGAAAGGTGCACGACAGGCACACGTCGCTTCACTCCAGTTTCACGGCCCCCCCCCGCTCATGAGTATGGGCGCCCTCGAGGGCGCGAAGTTATTCGCGCTTCGCGGTTCCGCTCCGATTCCTCCTCTTCCTCCTCTTCTCCACTGGGAGGCGGCGCGAGAGCGCGAAGTTATTCGCACTTCGCGCTTCGCGCAGCGCGAAGCGCGAAGCTGGGAGCCCTTGATGAGCACCCGACTGATGCGCCGCGGAGCGCTCCGCGAACCGAGCCCCGCCTAGGCTTACGTCGGGCCTGTCCCTCTACAGGGGGGGGATTCAAAATAGCCAAAAAATAGTGTGGGGACTATTTTTTGAGTATCTTTTGACCATTTGGGAGTATTGTTTGAGTATTTCTAAGTTTTCGTCCAGCATCCCCCTGTGGGGGGACAGGCCCGACCTAAGCCTAGGCAGAACGCGGCACGGGCACCAGCGAAAATGAGGCGAGCAGCAGCAAGGAGGGCGGGTGGGCAGCTGCAGGGCGTGTCACGGTTGGACCGAGGTCTAAGGTCGAGATTGGTTCGGGGAGGGTGCCCTAATGTTCTTCGTGTCTGCTCTGCTGGATGTTCCTGTGCATCTTGGGGGCGTCTGCCCTCGAGCGATCTCGTGGTGTGGGGTGTGTTGGCTGGCGGGGTCTCGTGTTCTCGAGTCGGTGGCGAGCCTGGGGTGGGAGTGAGAAGGAGAAGGCCTTCTCTGAATGCTCGGACGTTCCCAGGTCTTCTGAGAAGCTTCCTGAGCCTTCCGCGGAGACCGAAGACTTCCCAGAAGGCCGGGCGCCCTCTGACAAACACCGCCGTCTTCTGAGGGGGCTTCCTCCTTCTCCCTTCCCCTCCTCGCCTGCCGCCGACAGAAGGAGGTTCATCTGTCCTAGGTTGGCATGTCCCTCAACAGGAGGATTTTTCAAGAATGAAATAGTCTGGGGACGACTTTTCGATTAGAATATGTTTGACCATTTTTGTGTATTGTTTGGCTATTTGCCATTCTCTTCCAAAATCCGCCTGCGAAAAGACAGGCCCGACCTACTCCTAGGTCCTAGGTCCGACCGTACATGGCTTGCCCCGCCCCGCCGTCGACGAGCACCCCGCTGATGGCAGGCCAGCCCCGCCCAGCCTAGGATCTGATTAGGCCCGGGGGCCCCCCCCGGGGCCCCGTCTCTCTTGGCATTGCTCAGACGTGTGCTCTCTGTTCCGGGATAGTTTTCTCTGAGAGCTGAGAGTCGGCGGCGAGCGAGGGGGGGAAGTGAGAAGGAGTAGGCTTTCTCGGGAGGCGGCGGGGCTCCTCGGAAGCCCTCGCTCGGACCTTCTGGGAAGTTTTCTGCGTCTTCGGGGAAGGCTTAGAACACTTCTCAGAAGGCCTCCCTCCTGATCACTTCTGAGAAGGCCTTCTGAGAATGGCCTTCTCCTGCTCACTTCCCCCCCTCGCCCGCCGCCGAGAGAGGGTTTCAGATCAGAAGCCGGCAGCGCAGGGTGGCCCGTGAGCTCTTTCCGGCGCCGGGCAGGCATCCCCGGAGCGACTTGCTTGAACTCGCGGCGTGTCCCGAGAGCGTTCTCCTATTCGTTCCCAATGCGCGGGCTCGAAGCCTTTCCGCAGCTCCGTCGAAGCTCCTGGGGCTCCTGCGAAGCTCCTTTCTCGAGCCTGCAAGCTCCCCGGGCATCCTTGCAAGCGCCCTTGCAGCCGTCTCCAAGAGGCGCGTTTCACACGCATTCGACTGCTCCGCTATCCAGGTCTTGGACGCCGCAAGTTTGTCGGCGATGACTTTCGAGGAGCATCCTGGATCACCAGGCCAAAAAAGCACGCACGAAGCCGAAAAATGCACAGGGAATGGGGCGTCCGAGCGATGGCATGCCAGGCGGGCTTCAAGACTGCGCCGCACGGGCTGCTCTGGCCCAAGGGATGGCCTCTGGCGTGGCTGCAGGAGGCTCCAGCAGGGCTTGGTGCAGTCGCGAGCCGTGGAGGGGCTGCCGTGTCGATGCCGTTGAGTGTTCGGCGGCGAGCGAGGGGGAAATTGAGAATCGAATAAAAAACGCCATAAGCATAAACTCTTGGCCGTCCGCGCGGATTTCTTGGATCCACGCTGGGACCCCCAGTGGCGCCTCCTGCGCCGCCCCTGGCGCGCTCCGCGCGCCAGGGAGTGGGGGTCCAGCGCAGACCCAAGAAATCCGCGCACAGCGCCAAAAGTTTTTGTTTGAGAAGGCCTCTCAGAAGACGGCGGGACTTCTCTGAAGCCCTCGCGCCTTCTGAGAAGTTTTCTGCGTCTTCGGGGAAGGCTTAGAACACTTCTCAGGAGGCCGGGGAACTTCCGAGCCTTCTGAGAAGACCCGCCCCTTCTCACTTTCCCCCCTCGCTCGCCGCCGAATTGTGACCGGCCGGCAAGCAGCGCGAGGTTGAGAAAGCATTTCGGGAGCCTTGAGAAACGGGGGTCGATGCAGACGGGGGTAAGTCAGAGCGCCGGATCTTGCAGGATCCTGCCGAGCCAGGGTCGCATTGGCCCAGGCTTGGATGCAGGATGCTGCAGGGCCTTGCAGGATCCTGCAGGGCCCGACTGTCCCAGGTTTGCATTGACTCGGGTCAGTGGGTGCCCGAGCATTGTCATTCAGCAGCAACTGGTTTTGCTCATCCTGGAAAGCGGCCAGAGGCTGAAGAAACACTGTCACATCATAGCTGATGTTTCCAAGGCCCTGGGGGTCCACGAGCTCAGTAAAAGATATCGCGACTTGGGGAAGAAATCCCACCAGCACTTTAGGGCGTAGGTGGTCTGCCGATCTTTTTCTTTTCTCTTCCAAAACCCTCTTCCCTTCGGGGAGGGGTGCTCTCCCTCCCGCCGGTACCATCCCCCCCACACCTCCCTGAGGTTTTACTTTTGGGGGGGGGGGGGGGGGGGCGCCACGTGCCAGGGTTTGTTGTTTCGCCCAGGATGGCTCCAAGAGGGCCCCCGATGCTCCAAGATGGCACTCGCACTGCCAGGACGACCCGCCCTCATCTTTTGTGCGCGCTCCTCTCCTGTCTGGCCGCCCCCCAATGGCTTCGCCTCGGGCCCCTCCCTGACCTGATCGACGCCTGCCCCCCATGCGCTGCGAAGAAGAGGGGCACTGGAGCCGCAGAAAAGTACACGGAAGAGACACGAATGCTCGGAACTCCGTTCGCAGCTCTCGGTTCGGCGCTGGACCCTTCTGAGCTGGACCCGTCCTCGGGTGCCTCCGGTGCTCTCCCGCGCGGCCAGGAGGGAGGCCCAGCGCCGATCCAAGAACTCTGCGCGGACCGTTGAGGGCCAGTGTTTGTGCAGTGATCCTCCGCGGGGGTGAGCAGGCACCGACCGTCCCGGCATTCCTCTGGGCCTGCCACGAAATGTTCCTAGAACCCAAAAGTGTTCGAATAACAGAAACAATGCTCTGAGGACATTATAACCCGATGCGCGAGAACAGGGCAGTCCAGGCCAGAAAAGTTCTAAGAAGATGTCGTGGGAATCCACAAAAGGTTCTTAGAACATTCTGTGGTAGGCCTATGGGCACGCCAAGACGCTTCGCCACTGCTCGAATGTCGTCCTGGAGTGTGATGCTCGCTGTGCTCGGCCTCTCGGGCGTCTTCCCAGCCCCCGGGCCGTCCGAAGAGCACCCCGGAGTCCGCGACCCGTCTCCACCGGAGCGCCTGTCCCCGCATGCTGATATGTTGCTCGTCCGCGTCAACCTTCCCCCTTCTCTCCATCCTCCACCTCAGTCACCCTCCTCCTCGCTCCCAACCGCCGCCCCCCCCCCCTCCACCCTACTGCCCCGCATCCCGTCGGTTCCAGTCTCGAACCCAGCGCTGATTTCGAGTCCAAAGTGCACTGGCCCGCCTCCCACCATCATTTTTCCGATCCTCGTCCTTTTTTTTCGGATGCAGCTTCTGGGAGGTTAAATTCTGACTTTACCCTGGTCCAAAGTCCGCCTAATTCCGCTCAATCCGAATCAATCCCGCTTGATCCAGCCTAATCCCGCTGAGTCCGCGGCCTAAAACGGCGTAACAGCCCCGAAAAATGGGGATTGATCCGTTTAATTTTTCCGACGGAGACCTCCCAGCATTTGCCTCCTAATGTTCTTGCCCATTGTGCTCCGCTCCCCCTTTGTCCGATCGGCTGGCCCCCCGGCCCTCCTCTCCTCGGTTCTGGTCCTCCTTCCTGATCGGCGGCGCCCTCCCCCCCCCACCCTACCCATCCCATCCCTTCTGCAGCAAGTCATGGGAGCCTCTTAATTCCGTCTCTAGCGTCGGTCAGCGTCGATGTAGCATCGATTAGCGTCGAGTTAGCGTCGACGAGGGTCGATTCTCAAGAGCCAACAAGATGGTATGGAAGGCTCCCATGAGTTGCCACCGAACATCCCCCCTTTCCAACCCCACCCCACCCGGCAGCTGCTGTCGGTGCGCCAGCGCGCCATAGAGGCGTTCGAGGCGGGGTTCGTTCTTTCGCGCGCGTCGGTCGGCAAGCGTGCGCGCGGGGGAGTAGGGGGAGGAGGAAGAGGAGGAGGAGGAGGAGGAGGAGGAGGAGGACGGCGGGAAATGAGAGAGTTGGAGGAGGAGGAGGAGGAGGAGGAGGAGGAGGAGGAGGAGGAGGGGGAGGGGGAGGGGGAGGAGGAGGACATCTTCCGCCTATTGGATGTTGACGGAGGGTCTGTGGAAGCGGGCCGAGGCACAGAATAGAGCGCATCCCTTTAGAATAGAGCGCATCCCCCAACGAGAAGTCAGGAAAGAAGTTGATCAGAGCTCCCGTATCGTGTTCGAGGTTCCTCGCGCTTATTGTACGGAGCATGGTCTTGAAGGTCATCGTCGGTCTTCGCTAGACGCTTGTCGCCGATCTCCCACACTCCACCAGTTCCACCCCTTCTCCATGCTTGACGTCCATGCTTGGCGTCGTGGTTGGCCCGAGGCCGTCTCCCGACGCGCAGGAAGCTTTCGCTGCGCCCACCGAGACTGCATCCTATTCTCCCGTTGCTCGTTCCTCCTCCTCCTCCTCCTCCTCTTCCTCCTCCTCCTCCTCCTCCACAATTACTCAATATGAAAATACTCTCCCTCTTCCCCTGATGGCGTCCGGGTGATGGCCGCGCACCCTCCGCGTACTGTTTTTTTACACAGATTTCCCGGGAAAACCCGGGAAACGACTCTCGCTGAGGCGCTGGCGCAATTTTTTCCCAAAATGCTGCTCTCGTTGAGGCGCCAGCCTCATTTCTGCTCCCGAATCGTTCCGAATCGTGCTCCCGCTGCAGCGTGGGCCTCATTTTCGGATCGGTGTTTGGCCTCCGTCGTTCAGGATGGCGTTCTCGCCCCAGCGCGGGCCTCTTTCTCGCGCGCCCATCCGCCCGCCACCACCGCGCCGCACCACCACCCACCACCACCACCACCACAACCACCACCAGCACCACCACCAGCACCACCAGCACCACCACACCACCACCACCACCAACCACCACCACCACCACCACCACCACCACCACCACCACCACCACCACCACCACCACCACCACCACCACCACCACCACCACCACGACAACCACGCACACACGCACGCACGCACGCACGTGCACCACCACCCACTACGCACGCGCGCGCGGAGCCACAGGTCCGCTACGACACGCGTCCGCGGATAAAGAAAATCAGCGCCATGGTAAGGGATGGGAGGGAGGGGCAGGACGTCAGATATGACGCGAGCGCACCTAGCTTGTCCTCCTCCTCCTCCTCCTCCCCCTCCTCCTCCCCTCGACAGGAAAGAGTGCAGAGCTGCGGGCGTGATGGCCATTGCGACCCATTAGATTCATTGGCTTACGCCGCACCGCCGGCCCCTTGTGGCGGCAGCAAGAGTGAAAGACGGCGTTCGCGGAACCCGCGCGATCGCTGGGCAGTCTTGGGGGTTCGGCCTGCTTTACGCAGCGTGTGGGGTTCAAGGGGGGGCATTGTAGAGGTTTGTTTTGAAGTTGTTCGTGGTCTTATGTGGGTTTCTTGGGGTTTTCACGGGCCTGTCCTAGGCCTCCTTTTCCACCCCCTGGATAGGCTGGGGGATCGTTGAGACCCAGCTGGGGGTGCATTCGGCCAGAAGTTCGAGAGTGGACCCAGCTCCGTCAACGAGGGGCTTCCTGAAGGCCCAAAATGGGCGGAAAACGCCCAAGAATTAGGAGTCTTATGCCTCGAGCCTCGATCCACCCCGTGCGCCTTCCTTTGCGAAAGGGCGGCACCGGCCAGTAAGGTGGATCCTCATCCCGGACCCTCGGTGGTGGTCCCGGGCACCGAAAACGGTTCTTGGAGGCTGAACTCGAGGAGATGTTTCGGATGGTCGAAAGACCCCGAAAATCTGTGAGACATCGGCGACGACGACGAAATCTTCTTCTTCTTATTATTATTATTCCTCTTGTTTTTCTTCTTCTTATTATTATTATTCTTCTTCTTCTCCCTCCTCTCCCTCCTCCTCCTCCTCCTCATCCGTCTCCTTTTCTTCTTCTCGATCGAGGTAGATGCCCGCGGCAGTTCTGACCGCCTCTCCAGAGATTTTTGTTTGAACCGTTTTTGTTTTTGATCGGTTTCGGTCTCCGGGGGCCGTTGCTGGGCCCCAGGGATTTCAAAACCAAACGGACCCGGGGCGAGAAATTGCATCAGCGGACCCGGGGAGAGGTTCGGGGAACGAATTGTGCGGAGCAGCTCGTCGGCCTCGGGAGGTTTGTTGTGGTTGGGGGGGGTCCGGGCCCCCCCCTGTCGCCGCGGCTGGATGCATTTGGGGAAACGATTGCGACTGGATTCCGGGACGGGTCCAGGGGGTTCACGGTGAACGGTCTCTGCGCGGAGAAAAGAGAAGAATTTTGCTGCAGAGCCTTAATATTTTCAGTTGTTTCGTTGTTTTCGTCGTGGAAGGGCCGCCTCCAGGCCCCGGGGCCATTCAGAGGCATTGAGGATCCCCGTCAGGGCCTCTTGGGCGCATTTAGGCGCATTTTCATGTTTTCTCGGGGCGAAGTGCTCGAATTCTCCAGTCGAGTGTCCCTTCTTACCACCCTTCTCTTGGGGCCGTCCTGGTGCTCTCCCTGGTGGTTTCGGGGGCCCTGTTGGGGCCCGTTTGTGCCGTCTGGGAGCCTTCTTGGGGGCATGCGGGAGCTTTTGGGTTGAGTTTGGCGGCCTTTTGGGTTGCTGTGGGACTCGTGGAAGCTCAAGAAGCGAATGTGATAAACTAAACGTTTCCTTTCGGGAAGGGGCAGAGGTTTGGTTCTGCCGGGCCTCTTGGGACGCGTCGTGGTGGCGTGTTGGGGCATCTAGGGGGCCTCAGGGGCCGACTGGAGGCACTGGCGGGCGTTTGGGGGCGATCTCCTCACCAGTCGTAACTCGCGCTCTGGAGCAGTCTGGGGAGCCTTGCGGGACCCATTTGGGGACTTTTGGGGGGCCGTCCTGGGGCCGTCCTGGGTCGGTTTGGTGGTTTCTGGGGCCTCTTGGCGTCTATTTGGCTCGTCTTGGGGTCCTCTTAGGACCGTCATGCGGCTTTCCAGCGCCGTTGCTATGGTTTCTGAGGCCTTCGTGGGGCGCCCGGAGGCCTTTTTGGAACCTTTTTGAAAGCCTCTGGGGCTGTAGGGGTTCGATCTAAATAATATAACATATATGTAAATATACACATGTATATATATATATATATATATATATATATAGTGGCCGTCGGCCTATCCCGCCACCGTGCCTTGGTTGTCGGCCTGAGATCCTTGGCGCCTGGGTTGCGGGTTAGAAGTTACATGCCTCAAATGGTACATGGGGCTTCTTTTGAGCTTCTTGTGGGGGCCTCGTGGCGCCTCTTGGGGGCCTCCTGGGCCCTGTTGGGCGCCTCTTGGGCCCCCTCTGGGGCCGTTTTGGGGCGGAAGGTTCGGATTGTTGGTTCAGGCTCCCTTTCTTGGGCCCCTCTTTGGGCCATCTTGGGGCATTCCTGGGCCGTGTTGGGAAATCTCTTGGGCCGTCTTGGCGCCCTCTTGGGCCGTTTCGGGCGCCTCTTTGGAGCGTCTTGGGCCTCTTGGGGGACTTTTGGGGCCGTGTTCAACGCCGTGGAGGCCGAAAAGCCGTTGCATGATAAAAATGTACGTGTTCCCATCGGAATTCGACGATTTTGGCCTCTGGGGCCTCTCTTTGGAATGCTCTTGGAGGCTTCCTGGGCCGTCTGGGAGGCTTCTGGGACCGTCTTGGTGCCATCCTGGGCGTCTTGGGCCGACCTTTGGGCGTCTTGGCGGCCTCTTGGGCCGTCGTGGGGGCTGCTTGGAGCCCTCTGGGGCCTCGTGGGGCCTGATGACAACTTTGCCCCCCCCCCCTCCAAACCGGCCGGACTGGGCTCCCGGGGGAGGGGTTTGGGGAGGGTGAAGCATCTCACACGCCGTGACCCCAAGGGGTCTGCGGATATGAAGTCAATATGCTCAGTAGCGTGTTGCTGGGACCATCGAAGGGCAGATGCTCTGACGAAGTACAAGCACGTCTGGCAGGGCTGGCAAGCCGAAAGAATACCCAGCTCTTCTCGAAGCCAGGCTGCTCACAAGAGATCGGACGTCGGCGAGCTGTTACGCTACGCACTGCGCTTGGGGGGACCAGGCGACACATAATATCTCCTCCGGTCCCACGAAGTAGAGCGACACGCCGTGAGCTCGCAAAGCATAGCGTGTCGCAGGGGCCGCCACCGCCGCCGCCGCGACAGGCGGAAGCGGGACGGCGTCAGGCGCATGAGAGATCGGCAGTGCCAGATATCCGACGATCTGATTTGTTTCCACCAGCGGTTTTCCCTTGATTGCCTTCGGTGGCTGTTGCCGGGCCCCGGGACCATCAGAACGGGCCCCGGGGCCGCGGATTGAAAAAAACACGTGGGTGGACATCAAGCTTTTCAGGCTCAGGGCTTCCAGAAGCGGCCGCGTGTGGCCGCATGCCCTTCCAGCGACAGGCCCTCCTGTGGCCAGGGACGCCTGTCCTCCACCTCTGCATCCGGCGCGCAGCTCCCGGATGCTCCGCACATGCGTGAATCCAGCCAGGTGTGTCTCCGGCGCTCCGGGAGGCCACTGAGCCTGAGGCGCTGCGCTGGGCGGGGCCTCCCAGACCCCCGACGTGGTGATTGCCTAACAGCGAAGACTGATAGGTTTCTAGTGGGGTCAGAAGAGAGCATCATGACTCCCCAGGGCGGTCTGGGCGGGATCCGGACGGGTGCCGCGGGAATCCGTCACCCCTTTTTTTGCCAACAGTAACGCACTTCGTGGTCTTCGAGTTCCCAGAACTCCATTCCTGGGCATGATTTTGAATGCCCGGAGCCAACTGTAGGCCGCTTCGTGTTCTTCGAGTTCCCAGAACTCCATTGCTGGGCATGATTTTGAACGCCCGGAGCCAATTGTAGGCCGCTTCGTGTTCTTCGAGTTCCCAGAACTCCACTCCTGGGCATGATTTTGAATGCCCGGAGCCAACTG